GTATACTGTGTATACTTTTATATGAGGCTGGAGCAGCTAGAAGGTTCACCCAAGCACCCATTCAGAGAGAGTACTCCTCCGGCAATAGGACAGTCAGCGATAACAATGGATAAGATGCCATCTTATCTGTATACTGTGTTTTAAATTATCTGAAGAAAATACATTAACGTCCTGTCCATTTAATGAGACGAAATTAGTTTATTTTCTCCTTTAAATGTTTCTGCAAGCTTAAACCACTTTTAACTTGTCATAAATTGTTTAGGCCTACGTTTACAAATGACTTTATATTGCTCTAACAAAATTACTAGGGTTAACGTACAATCAATCCACTTACTTTTACAAAGTCGAGCAACAACTTTCATCGTATATCACCTCTCAACTAACTTGACGTTTCACTCGAACGTCGTTTTCATAATCTGTTCTAAATATTTTTTGGACTAATGTGAACTTAATGTCACATTACATCATCAAAAGCCTGCAGCTCTCTCAGGCTAACAAATAAGTTACAACATGTAGCTTACAACACTGACCTCTTCCTGGATTTTGAAGTCCCTTGAACATTCATAGCATACACAAAAATAAAATAAAACACTACAATAAAGTGTCCATTCACCAAGTTTCTTGGTAGTTTTTCTGTCATGAGACCGAACTCGAAAATATAGAACTACGTTACAACAATGGTATTAAACAACACAAATAACCAAGCTTGATAATAAGAAAATATTGTATCGAAAGGGACTTTTATAGATTTAAACTCATAGTTTACTGTTAAAGACGTTTGTCATGCAGATAAGTAGTTTACTGTCAAATATGTTTGCTATGTAGAAACACAGTTTGCTGTCAAAGACGTTTGTTTGTTATGTAGACGCATAGTTTGTTATCAAATATGCTCGTTATGTAGGCACATAATTTACTATCGAATACATTTGTTAGATAGACATATAGTCTACTATAAAAGACGTTTGGTATATAGACATATTGTCTACTATAAAAGACGTTTGGTATATAGACATATAGTCTACTATCAAAGACGTTTGGTATATAGACATATAGTCTACTATCAAAGACGTTTGGTATATAGACATATAGTCTACTATCAAAGACGTTTGGTATATAGACATATTAGTCTACTATCAAAGACGTTTGGTATATAGACATATAGTCTACTATCAAAGACGTTTGGTATATAGACATATAGTCTACTATCAAAGACGTTTGGTATATAGACATACAGTCTATTATCAAAGACATTTTCCTGTAGACACATAGTTTACTGTCAAATACGTTTATGTAGACATGTATGTTACTGTCAAATACATTGTTATATGGAAACATAGTTCACTATTACGGTCATTTGTTATGTAGAACGTAGTACACTGTCAAATGCGTTTATGTAGAAACATAGTCTATTATCAGATATGCTTGTTATGTAAGCACACGGTTTACTATCAAATACATTTGTAGTGTAGACATAGAGTCTACTATCAAAGACGTTTGGTATATAGACATGCGATCTACTATTAAAGACGTTTGATATACAGACGTATTGTCTACTATCGAATATGCTTGTTATCTAAGCACATAGTTTACTATTAAATACATTTGTAGTGTAGACGTATTGTCTACTATCAAAGACGTTTGGTATATATAGACATATGGTCTACTATCAAATAAGTTTGGTATATAGACATATTGTCTACTATCAAAGACGTTTGATATACAGACGTATTGTCTACTATCAAATAAGCTTGTTATCTAAGCACATAGTTTACTATTAAATACATTTGTAGTGTAGACGTATTGTCTACTATTAAAGACGTTTGGTATATAGACATATGGTCCACTATCAAATAAGTTTGGTATATAGACATATTGTCTACTATCAAAGACGTTTGATAT